AGATATTTCTAGGTCTATCAGGTTACAAAATGGCATTATTATTACACATAAAAAAATAATTACATATTATCAATGTATGCCAAACATTGACCAATATTTTATTAAATTAATGTAGTTATACATAAATAAAATGTATAAATACATTAATAGAATGTTTAAATTTTATAAGCTCATGACCACGTACATTGATATTATGTATAGCAAACATTAATATAATGTGCAATTTTACATAATATCAATGTATTAATACATTAAATTTATGTAGAAATACATTTAACTAAAGTATATATACATTAACTTTAGCCAAATCATTAAAAAAAAAACGTACATTATATTATTGTATAAATACATTAACCAATGTTTCAGATTGATTAATTGATATTTTTAATTCATTATATTAATGTATAAATTCATTAATCAAGGTAGATTGTTCATTATTCAATAAATTAATACATTGTATTGATGTGCAAAGTTATAAACGCCTACAGAGTATTAATTATTTAGCTTTCCGCTTTACTAGCCAACAGTGCAAGGAAGTATTTGCTCCTGTTCCAGAGCACACACCCTAAGAAAAATTGAAATTATTATTCTTTTGTGTTTGTGAGTCGAATCAGGTGGTTATTGTGAAAGTAAAAAGCAGATAAATAAAAAACAAAAAGGTAAGAAATATAACTTATTAATGTAAATAAGTAATATAATTTATATAATATATATTTTTATTACAATTATTGTCAATTATTGACAACCATTGTTTTTAGAGGTTGGGTTGGTAGGTACCACTAAAAACCACATAACAGAAATTCAATTTTTGTAAAATATAATCAAAATAAAAACGGCTCTAACACAGCTATACACTATTATTATAATAGTGTATTAGCTGTGACTCTAACATTATTTTAACTCAACTTATTATCCATTAGATACAAATTATAAACACAGAATATAATTTTTAATTATTACTTTTTATTTTTACAATTGGGATACACATTTTTTATCGAAATTACTTTAGATGCATGTAAAATAATATTATTTTGCCATTGTTTCAGATGAATTCAGATGAATTTTTCTGGTAATCCATGGCAAAATAGTAAAAAAAGATAACACAGAAAAAAACGTGACAACTAAATTTACGATAAAGGATTCACAAGACGCATTTCTGTACCTCTTACCCACTTTGGAGGAGTTCGAGAAGCATCTTGATCATTTTAAAAAAAGCAAGTCAATGCGCAGCCGTTTATTTTTTGGATAGGAAAGGATGAGGTAAACATTAAAGAAATTTATCTTTAATTTGATTGTGTCCGATAAAATTTTTTTAGTGTAATAAGGGCAGTAGATATTTGCTTTAAATGTATTTATTTGTTTAATTTAGATTTTTCGCTCGAATCAGTAATGATTTATAACTTCTTAGAAACCTTTTTTTTAATTTAAAACAACAAAAAATGTTGGTAAAGTTCATTTATTAAAAGAGTATTAAAACAATGAATAAAAATTCTAATTTGTATAAAAATGTGTTTTTTTCCTCCTTCAAAAAACCCTATACAGTGCATTCCACAAAAGTTTGGCGGTCTTAGGAATTTGATGCAATTCTTCATTTCTGTATAACAACTCTTTATTGATATCGGGATAGGGTTTATTGCATACGTTTGCCTGCAACGGCTGCAAATATATGCAAAACCCTAGCATTATTATTATAATTAAAAGTTGGCCGTTATATTGAAATTAAGGATTGCATCACATTCCTAAGACCGCCAATCTTTCGTGGAACGCACAGTTAATTATAACAATATATAGTTATTATATCAATGTACATGGTACATTATATCAATGTACAGGGTGCATTATATTAATGTACAGGGTACATTATATGAATGTACAGGGTACATTATATCAATGTACAAGGTACATTATATTAATGTACAGGGTGCATTATATCAATGTACAGGGTACATAATATTAATGAATAAGGTACATACTATAAATGTATGACATGCATTGACTAATGTATACTGTTACATTATATCAATGTACTCTTCATTGTTCAATGTAATTTCTTATGCATTAATGTAACATTTACATTATAATAATGTATTTGTGCATCGGCTCTATTTTAATGTGCGCATACATTGTCACAATGATAAAATACATTAATATTATGTACTTTTTTTTTCTGTGTAACCTTTTACAAGAAAAATAGATTTGTAATAACATTTAATAAAATAACGCATAGAGAGTATTTAAAATGTTGTTTAATTTAGGCTTTTTAGTAGTTTTCAATTTTGAACGAAAAATTGGTTAAAAAATATATTTACCAAAATTCTAACTGTTTTTTTTAATTTGTAAAAAATTCAATTTTTTTAAAATTATTTGTTTATAGCAAAGTCTACCTTTGCCAGAGTACACATTTGTACACCGATATTGTAAACGAGAGAAACTGTTTTTATATATATGCTTAGATTTATACAGGGTTAGACAAAAATCACTTTTTTATATAGTAAAAAGCATAATGCATAACAAAGATTTTTCAAAAAATTTCGAAAAGAGGAGCAGCTAGGATTTTGGTAAATATCATTTTTAAGTCACCAAAGGGTCCCGAACAAGAAACTACAGAATTTGTATGTGACTTAAACTTCGTTCAGGCACACCGTGTGCTGACGAGCAGCGAAACGCGCCGCGTACTAATCAAGCGCACAGCGGGACAAAAAAATTAATATCTCCGAAATGACATATGAAAGGCAAATTTTTGAGTACATCTTATTAAACGGAAACGTTTGCCGCATATTATGACACAAGATTATTTTTTTTTCAGCGTGAAGAACACATACATAATTTCAATTGTTTATAATAAATGTATGCAAAATTCTTTTATTTAAACAAATTAACCTTAATTAAATGATCATTATATACTCTAAACATTTCTACAATAGTGTGTAAAATTTAATTCAATTATACAGAGTGGTCCCAGAGATTCTATTTTTTCAATTTTACCGTGCTCTAAAGTTTGACAAAATTGTCAACCTTAATAACATTACCAAAAAAACGAATTTTAAAACAATTTTTTTACTGTGACATATGAGTCATGCCTACTACACAATAATGTGATTATTTTCAAAATCGGTGATTTCGTGAAATTTTCTGGTCCCACTTGACGTGGTTTGACTCAGGTCACAAATGTTTATAATTTTAAAAAGTAGAACGTGAGGTTAAATTAGATCTGACAGTGGTCGAATTTTTTTATTGATAAAAACGGGGTTTTTACAGACTAGGGAGTCTATTTTCTTACTTTTTGGTGCTGGTTAAATTATAGTTTTTGCAAGGTTTTTTATGTTTTCATAGAAATATATTAAAAATTGAGTAGATATTTTATGAGTTATAACTACAAAATAAGTTAAGAGTTAAAATTATATCAATTTGGTTATAAATAAACCTATAACCCAGGGTTAGTAAAATGTTACAGAATAGAACCCTAGTTAAAAAACTTTTTCATAGGGCTTCTATTGAAAATCCGATTGTCACTAACTAGGGTTGAAACTGTTAAGTTTCCACCCTAAGTTTTAAACTTGCACTTAACCTCACATTATTGTCCAACAAATCTCAAATCTGTCAGATCTGACAGATTAAATATTGTTTATTATATGCGCGTACCTTAGATCCACTCTTTAATAAAGTTGCTATAAAAAATAATATGCTTTACTTGAAAAGTAACACAGCGATGGCAAATCGTGTGAGTGCATAGCTCGCTTCACTCGGGCAGCAAACTTCACACTCGTTGCAATCACTGTGTTTTATTTCTTGTAATGCAATATACCATACCCGATTGATCTAAATTATTTTTACAGCCTAGGAGGTTTTTAATTGAGGATAAAAATCTTTGCCTTCCAACATAATATCTATAATATCAATATTATTTATTATTGTATTAGTACAAAACGGCCGTGCAATATTAGGAAATAATTATTTAAAAGACAAAAGATAATTTTTATTGTTTTATTTATTTATGAGGATGAGGTTTGCGTCTCGAGTCAGACGAGAGACTTAAATCATCTGAGTGAATAATGAGCTTAATCTCGAGTGTAATGCTTTACTTTATCTACTTCAATAAGTAGATTATTAAATGAATTTCATAAATATATAGGGGCGTTTCTCTGTAAACTGGGCAACTCATTGTCTCAAGCTAATATTGTTTAGAAAAATACCAGATCATAAATATTTCGTAAATAAATTCAAAAGATAATAACCTAATCTACCTATGCTCGACGTTCAAAATCCAATAAAATAAACTTTAATGTATCAAAATCGTTTTTATAGTCCTTAAAAACCAGTCCCCTGACGTGTCACCAAAGCAAAATGGTCACTTCAGACTAAATTAATTAAAGACAGTAACTATTGAAATCAACCTAATTGTTTAATTTTTCAACCAATATTGTTTGCTTGTTACTGAAACTTATTTATTTTTTATAATTATTATTTTGTAATTCTAAAAAAGTCATCTAAACTTTGTCTCTGGATTTTATAAACAGTCCCCTGTATAGATTTTTCAGAAAATGCTCAATGTTTTCCAAAGTAATAGGAATATTTTTGGTTCATCTGCCGTATACTAATAAATAGACCGATATTTATTCCTCGAATAACATTTATTAAATACAACAAAAATATAACAAAAAAACTTGTCTAGGCAATTTCTTACTTCAAGTTGCCCAGTTTACAGAGAAACCATTTGACAGATGTCATCAGAGACCTTGTCTCTATAGAGACAAGGTCTCTGATGACATCTGTCAAATGTCACTTTTTACCAATTTTTAATGTTGGTTCAAATTACAGTGAATATTGAAATCGGCCAATCACTGATGCCTAACAACGTAAATAATAAGTTTATTATTCACGTTGTTAGACGGGGAATTTATAATGTTTATCATAATTCATGTAAAAAAAACAATATTATGCAATATGTTATATTATTATACCTATTATTTATTATGTCATTAATTCCTTTTTTATTTTAGGCATAAATGCGCAATTTAAATGCCCCCAAAGAACGGGATTTTTCCCAGATCCAAATGAATGCGACTTATATTACGTTTGTTCCCAAGGCAGCTACGAGGAAAAACTGTGTCCTGATGGTTTGGTTTTTGATGACACCGACCCCAATCATGAAAGATGTGATATTCCAGCAAATATTGATTGCGGGGACAGGGTGGAGCTGCGTAAGCATTTCTAATTTAGGTCACAATTTCTTTAAAAGAAATTCTGCGTTATTTTTATTTGTTTTAGATTTTTAATCTTATCTCGACATAAGTATTACGTAAACCTGTTATTTAATGATATTATTTTATAATTCAAACTTTCACTTTTTTGGGTAGGACCCATTGATTTTCGTGATACTGGTTGGTTTTAACATTTATAATTATTAGGTACCTATACATAAAAAATATTATCAATATTTTAACAATTAAATAGAATACGAGGATAGCTTTAACAAAAAAAAATAACAAGAACATGTTTAAAATTTAAGAAATTGTATTTAGGTACAAATATAAAACTCAACAAAATTACTAAAAAATTAAAACTTACATGATTAGAATATTTTATTTTAAAAATCTTTATTAATTCTTTCAAATATGCTGTGATATGTGATATGATATCATATCTAAATAGGTACATTTTGATATTTCTTGGTTGTTATAATTGAGGAGGCCAAAACTCGGCTTATCCATATTAGTTGTTTTTGAGCAAAATGTCAAAAACCTTACACGTGAGTACTAACGCATATCAGGCTAACACAATACTTTAAACAAAATATATAGGAATAAGTAAAACATTTTTATACCTTGATTAAATATATTTATAGCTATAGCTCCAATTTTAAATAATTAAAATTACATACGTAGGTATATACCGAGTTCTGCATGATATAGCCAATAGATACGGCACGTTTTGGAACGATAGTCAATTTGTAAATGAATTAAATGGAATAAGGTGAGTTTTATAATATTATGAACTTTTCAGCGTAAATGTTAAATGTACAGACACCAATAACTAATTTTTATTAAAAAGTGGATAAGCCGAGTTTTGGAATGGACCTCCTCAACTGTTTTAAAAGAGCAAAAACTTTTAGTGCCATGTTTTAGTTAAAATTTCTTTAGGAGGGGCAGGCAATGGAAAATAAATAATATGCAATGCATATTATGCATGCTACAAAACTATAAAAAATATTTATTTTATTACAAAACCGTTTTAAGACTTAACCTTCAATTTTATCCCCATTTATAGCGCTTTAAACCCTAGCCTTGTACCTGGCTTCGCCCGTATTTTAGTCACTATTTGAAATATGAGGAAAAACGCGCTAACGCCCCTACATTAGCAATTTTGACCAACCTTGGAAACTGTTACGTCCTTCTATTTATCAAATTGAGTGACGCGTTTCGTATAAACAGAGCGTTAAAGTAGGCCGGGTTTACAATGGTTTAGTAATTAGCTTATATCTTTCCCAATTAATAATTGCCCAATTAAAAAGCTATTTGTAATTATGGCTTTCTTTATTTTTTAATATCTTTAAAAAACATAACCAGTTTTGTGTTGTCGGCTGAAGAGATAGGTCGTTTGATGAAAGAGTATCTCGGTTTCAATGTACCACTTTGACCAGAAGCAAGTTTTAACGTCCATGCGTTTCACAAAGCCATCCACCCATAGACACGTGAATTTTCCATTCTTGGAACATCCACTAAATCTTTTGTACAAATCACAAAATACCTCGCTAAAGGGTCATTATTTGACAACAGCAGCCCAGAAGATAAGACCTGAAGATGGTACATGAGATTGTACCGAAACGTCGTCAGACATACGGTTCTTTTAAGAACCAAAACCCGATAACACGGAGCAGATCCCGGAAAACCATTAATACATATAAAGCCCGTGGAAACCTAAAGCAGAACATATATACATGTATATATAGGTGGCAGGTTTGGCGCGTTTTGCCTCATAAGTCAATAGCCCAAAATAAATACTTTTTATATTCACATTTAGATGCAATTTTTATCATGTCATTTTACTTTCAGAGGAGCCAAAACCAAGTAAAGGATGTCCCAGAGCCAATGGATATTACCGACATCAAGACCCTGAAGTCTGCGACAAATTCAACAACTGTGAAGATGGTGTCCCACATGAGTTACCATGTCCCCCAGGGTTAATCTACGACGATACTGTTAGTACATGTGCCTGGCCAGAGTCTAGTAAAAGAAAAGACTGTGGAAAGTCAAAAAAAGGTATAAATATTATTTAATGCTACGATAATCCTTGGTTTTAGGTTTATTCCTGCAAATTTAAATCTAGTTCTCAAAAAATCAGGTTTGGCAAAGTGTGTTCGAATACAGCATACTAATACATTGTTTTAGAAAAAAATAATAATTGGGTACACAATTGTGGTTAGGTACAATGGCAATTGAAGATTTACTACCATTAATATTTTTATTAATATAAATATTTTTATCCCGTTAAAATCAAAATCTAAACTTCCTTTATAGACAGGTAATCTTACTTCTGGTTATCACTAGTCTTGTCATTTTGACAACGAAAGCAAAAACGCTCAATATTTTATTTTTGCTATTTACACAATAAAAAAATATTTGTTTATTTTAACCAACCAAATATAAACCAGATTTAATGTTAATCCACATAACTTTAAGTTTAAAACCAACTGTATTCTGTTAACTAATTGAATAAGTAGTTTGTAATTATAACAAACATTTTGTAGATTTAATAACAATATCCTATGTCAATAATTCAAACATAATTCTTGTAATTTTCAATAGTTGTAGACCCAGTGACAAAAGTAGGTACTTAATTATTTGGAAATTGAAAACTTAAATGAATAGTATATTAAAGTACAAGTTGCAGAAGGCCACATATTCTCGCACGAATTCGAAATTTGGCCTCGAGCGACGAAGGAGCGAGTGGACGAACGAATGAGTGCGAGAATAGCCTTCTGCAACGTGTGATTTATACTATTTTCTCGATTTTAACTTTTATTTAGGTTTTTTTAAATGTTTTGTGGTCGTTGTTAGTTGGGGGATTTTTCTCGCAAAATGTCAGTTGGCAACACAAAATGACAGTTGCATGGACAGGTAGATTTATTTTTATTTACTATTTATTAATAATCTGTCTGTATTTGTCAACTGGATAATAAGGTTTTGTGTAAGTATTGTATTATTTTTTAATGTTTTCTGATATTTTTGAACAATTGTGTTTACTTTTAGCAGTGAAAAATGTCACAGGAGGTTTTACAAGCAACACTGAACATTACAATAAAAGTTTATAACAATTGTGCTAGTGATTAATTTATAGTAGTTTTGTGTTTTGTGTACTGTGGGTATATAATATTTCCAATAAAATATAGTTTGATTGACCTGTCTGGCTCATTTATTTGTCAATATTTGTTATCCTGCACAAGTAGAACTGAACTGCACTTTTTCACATAAAAACTTAAAATTTTGCATTAAAATGCATTGTTGGAGCAAACTTAATATAACAAAACAATAATAAAGGCTTCATTTTCAATAAAAGTGTAGTTCAGGTTGCACTAGTGCAGGATAACAAACAAAGCTATTATAAATAATCCTAAAAGTAATGAATTTGAGGTTATTAAACAGTTTGACATTTTGGGGGTACCAAATTGGTACTACCAATACTTAAAAACTAAATGTTACCAAAAATCGTTTAAGAATGAGCTTCATTCTTCAACGATTTTGCGTGCGAGAATATGACATTCTTACATAAAAATCGAGAAAAGAATTTTGATAAGAAATGCCTAGGAAGAAATGTTGCTTTATTAATCAATTTCCTAAACAAAAAAATTAACACACACCTATAGTAAATTTAAAAGTAAACTACGTACACGTCATCAATAAAACAAAAATTTTACGCATTGGTACCAACACTAAATGACTAAATCGAAGTCTGTAATTGAATATTTGAATGCATTTTAACCAAATTAAGTTGGCAACAATTGTGATGTTGTCATGTTTACATTCAAATTTTTCATATTTAAATCACATAAAAAAGAATTTGACGTTTTAGAATTTCGAAGCTGTCAGTTGTGTTTTTGAATATTTCGTTTAATTCGTGTATTATTTCGTTTATTTAGTTTGTTGTTTGTGTTATTTTATATCGTTAAAGTTTTCATTGCCGTTTTTGTGTTTGTTATATATCGTTTTTTTGTGTTTCCTATATTTAAAATGCCGAAGCATTTAAATAGTCGGAGTCAAGAGTTGGTGTCATCCTTAATTAATACGCTATTTTGAGGCAGAACGGGATAATAATGGACCTTTGTTACCTTTAACAGCTGTTAGAGAGGTAAATAGGATTATTATTAATTATATATTAGAATATTTAACAAAATATATGTTGGATACATGAAATAATAATATATATACCAGTGACTGACTTTAGATGGCAAAATTTTTGGGTTTTATATCAGAAAATGTCTTTAAAAATCGCTAAAAACATACTTTTGGCGGTGCATCATATATGATATATCATATATAGGTTATAAAAACTCAGACTTTTGACATTTTGGTATTAGTCATGTAAACGCCATCTATCGCTCTGTAGTTGCACTACCACTTTCCCTTGATGCAAGGATTTTAGCATCACATTGACAACCGTGCCCGATCAGCTGATTGATGACGTGTACGTCGTTTACTTTTAAATTTACTATACTATAGTAAATTCAAAAGGAACGTACACGTCATCAATCAGCTGATCGGGCACGGTTGTCAATGTGATGCTAAAATCATTGCATCAAGTCAAAGTGGTAGGGCGATAGATGGCGTTTACATGAATAATACCCATATACTTAAGTATATGATAATACCAAAATGTCAAAAGTAAAAGTTTTTATAACCTATATGATGCACCGCCAAAAGTTTGTTTCAGCCATTTTTAAAGACATTTTCAGCTATAAAACCCAGAAATTTTGCCATCCAAAGTCAGTCTCTGGTATATACAGCCTGTTTAGAATAAAACCGAATATATCTATATATATATATATATCTATATATGGGGCGTGGCCTCGCCTCCCTCCAAGGCGCGTCACAGTTGCTTGTGTAATAAACGACATGACTAAAGGTCGAGCAGGTAAGGACTTAAAAAATTAAATGATAATAATGCATAAAATCTCATTAGCGATGCAGTCTATTTGCTTAGCTACTGTGTCGCGCGTTGGAGGGAGGCGAGGCCACGCCCCATATATATATAGATATATTCGGTTTTAGTATGAAAGAGCTGTATATTATATTACATTCTTATTTTATGTATCCAACATATACTCTGTTAAATATTCTAATATATAATTAATAATATTCCTATTTACCTCTCTAACAGCTGTTAAACTTTAACTTAAAGGTAACAAAGGTCCATTATTATTCCATTCTGCCTCAAAATAGCGTATTAAGGATGATACCAACTCTTGACTCTGACTATTTAAATGCTTCGGTATTTTAAATATAGGAAAAACGATATATAACAAACACAAAAACGGCAATGAAAACTTAAACGATATAAAATAGCACAAACAACAAACAAAATAAACGAAATTATACACGAATTAAACGAAATATTTAAAAACACAACTGACAGCTTCGAAATTCTAAAACGTCAATTTCTTTTTCTATGTCATTTTATTAAGCAATCTTTTAATCTAAACATGACAACATTGCAATTCCTGCCAACTTAATTTGGTTAAAATGCATTAAAATATTCAATTGAGGAGCATCCGTGCAAAACCGGCTATATCCACTTTAATAAAATGTTGGGAAAATGGTAAAAACTCTCGGTTTCCTGGCCTTTGCATATAAAAGAAAAAGCAAACTTGAGTTTTGTGGGCTTTGTGGTACTTGATTTATAAGACATACTTTCGTTTTCAAAAACTTAAGGCCAAAATTTTAAAAAATGTTTTGTATATAAGTAGCCGGTTTTGCTCAAAAACCGAATAAAATGTGATAAAAGACCTTTTCTATTCAAAAATATTAACAAAATAAATTTAGTGCAAACATGAAAAAACAAAACAAATTTTAGTAGTAGTATCGACATATCCAAGTCACATGCTCATCATCATTATTATTTATTAGATATAGCCGGGTTTGCTATAAAAACGTGGATTTGGACGGTTTTGCTCCTAAAGCTACCTTTTAAATGTGATTTTAACATGGATATAGTCGGATTTAAACAGAATTATCTTGGTTGTCGATAGAAATGAACCCAAAGATGCGAAATCAAAAAAAAAACAAAAACTGAATAAAATGGATTTAGCCGGTTTTGCACGGATGCTCCTCAATTACAGACTTTGTTTTATACATTTAGTATTGGTACCAGTGCGCAAAATTATGAGTCATTACAACGTGTACGTCGTTTGCTTTTAAATTTACCTATAGGTTACCTATAATAGGTATACTGTATATAAATGAATACAAAAATAACATACACAAAATTAAAGAACACACCATTCTGAATCATCATCAAATTATACAGAAATTTGGTACAATATAAGTATGAGTACTACTACAACACTTACTGATGTATTTCGTAACTTTAACCCACTTCCGCAAATTTTAGTTTTAAAAACAGTGATGGCATCTTTTTTCTTATACTTTGCACTCACACTCGTTAAATAGGTACCTATAAGGAATCCGAATAACAATAATTCAGACAGATTTCTGGTAATATATTATAAACACTCTGGACAGTTACGTATTAGAATAAAGTAAGCAGAAACATACGTTGCAGACGCTGAAGTCAGTTGAACTTGTTAATGTGTATTGTTGTGCTGAAGCTGGATGTATCACGATAAAAAAGGAAATGTTTTGATTGGCTGCCTAAATTCACGTGTAATTTTTAAGGAATTAATTTGTTAAACATTAACAAAACATTTGAAATTAGCAAAATGCTTATAAAATTGCATATTGCCTTTATAAAACTTTCGCTAAAATATTGTTTTTTGTTAAAATAATTATATAACCTAATTTTCTACAAAAAATGATGTTAAAATTTTACAAAATAAAATTGCAAACTCATGTTAACAAATCTAATTTTTATAGCAGTGTACAGATTTAGGTATACATAAACAACCAAATTAAGTCGTTCAAAATTCCTAATACTAGGGGAAGGTGGGGGAATTCTGCGCATCTAAGCAAAATCTCTAGTATCTTTGTTAAGTTTAAATGTGAAATTTTGCAATTAATACCAGCGATAGTCTACTATGTTTACTATGTGTATATAATGCGCAATTTATAAAAAAAAATGTTTGGTATGCAAAAACTACATTTTTTTAAATAATGCATTTGCGCAAAATTACCCACCTATCAGGGTAATTTTGCGCATCATAGTGGGAAAATTTGCGCTGTATAGAGAAAGATTTGTAGGTATCTAAATAAACTATTTTCTCTATGAAACAAACAAAACAAACAAAATAAAAAATAAATAACTAAAAATAAAATTTTTCTTCTTTGAAATAAGAGGGTCTACATGCAGCATTTGTCACATATGTAGTTTTAGGGTTTTTTTTCGCTACACTCCACCTGTGCCCAAATGGAACTGTTTATGCTGAACAATCTAGGCTCCTGTATACGAAAGCTCAAATATTGGCCAAATTTTGCAGCGCAAAATTACCCCAATTTTTCAGCCTAAAATTACCCCCATTGCAAGAAAAATATTGTGATACTAAAAAACTTTCCAAAAGTTAACCTGAACAATTTAAACATACACCAGATTACGAGGAAAGATCATATAAAGTTGTGTTATAAACATTTAAGCGATTGGATAGAAATTTAAACTTAACTCGTAGCGGAAACGACATGGATTTCTTAGATCAAAGTACATGTATCACAGTTAGCTAGGGACCATGGTCACTACCTAAAAGCTACAAGCTTAATTGCGGTACACTTTAGTCCCCGTATACCCAAAGCACCGTTTCCAAGTTTGCAACATTCAAAAAATGTATTATTTACTTCATATCTGGAAGAATTGTTTATGCGTAAAATTACCCACCGCGCAAAATTCCCCCACCTTCCCCTAATGATAAAAATAATTTTTGTTTTTGTTTTGGATTTCATCTTCAATAAATATGTTTGCTTAGTAATATCTAACAAAATAACCTTTTTAGATAGTTTGGATGATGGATTTACCTGCCCAGATGGTGATGTAGCGGCTCAAAATGGAAGAAAATTGCCCCACCCAACGTTCGCCCATCCAGACGATTGTAGGAAATTCTACATTTGCAGAAATGGTGTGCAGCCACAAAAGGGATCTTGCTCGTACGGATTCGTTTACAACGAAGATACCTTTACCTGTGATGAACCTGCTAAGGTGGAAGGATGGTAAATATTTATTTAATATTTGCAGTATTTTCTGACTTTTTTATGTTTTTTTTTATTATTTTAGTGAGAATTACTACAAAGATGACAAAAAAGACAACAAAAAACCTTAATTTTAATTATATACGTAATTTAATTAATTATATTAATAGCATGTTTTTACATATTTATAAATATTAATATTTTATTTTATACTGTTTTTAATTTTTCATACAAACGATGTAGTTTCTTAAGTATACAAACTAGAATTTTTTTCTAAGTAGTTTTTGCCAAAAAACGCGACAAAGTTGTGTTTGGAAAGTTGATATAATGCATATTTAAAATATGTTGTTATAAAAACATGAGGTTAAAATCCTAGGATGAACATGTTTGACAACATTTTAATTATGAATGTGTCAAAAAGTTTAAATTTTAAATAATTATGACTTTGTTATCATTAGCAAATTTTAACTCTTAAAAAATTGTCTATACAAATAAATACTTCTAAAACATTATATTAAGTAGTAAAATTTAATTTTATAACCCCTTAAAAACTAATCGTCAATTTTTTGATAAACTGTTTAACTGTTAGGCTTACTTTTATTTGTCAATAAAATGTATTGAATGAATAGAATTGCCGCTAGGAGTCATTTAGTTATATCTATATATTTTATATTTTAATAATTTTCAATAGGCTGCTCTCTAAAAATGAATTAGTCAAAAACGACTAATTTAATAGTTATTAGTGGCTGCTTTTTCACTTGTACCATGGTTAACTATGGAATAGCATGGTAGTCCAAAATTTACCAGCCAATTCTTATGTAAAATTGTCCCCTGAATCCGAAAATACCGTCAAAAATTAAAAAAGTAGAAAAGTTTTTGAGATATAGTGAATTTTTCATTTAATATGGAATTGACTATATCTCAAAAACTGCTCCACTTTCATAATTTTTGACAGTATTTTCGGATTCAGGGGACAATTTTACATAAGAATTGGCTGTTAAATTTTGAGATACCCTGGTATTCCATGGTTAACCATGGTACAAGTGAAAAAGCAGCCACTAATAACTATTAAATTAGTCATTTTTGACTAATTCATTTTTAGAGAGTGAGAAGTGAGACTGTTTGTGCTGAGGTCAAAGTTTGTTGGCCAAGGGGTAGCGAAGGCCTGTATACACTTGAGCGAAGCACTAAAAACACTTATCAGCCGAATGGCATACAACATTTTATCTGTTAAACGATACTTAAAACGTACCTACAATTATAATATTAATTATAAAAGTAATTATAATCATAACTATAGTATATTAAAGGTGGAAAGTAAAGTGAATTTTTGGATTTTTCCAAACTGGTGTTTTACAGCCTAATCAATTACTTTAGTAGTGAGTTTTATAAATCTTACAAATTATATAATATATTATGTATATACAGGGTGTTTCTTTTAACTTGATACAGCTCAATATCTCAAGAAATACGCATTTCACGGAAAAATGTTTTTAATAAAAGGTTAATGTGACCAAAGGGGACATTATTTGGTGCTACCGCTAGCCACCCCCTACCCTCCTTAAGGGTGAAACGGGGGGTAACTTTGGAGAGTCAAATGGGATAACCCTCTTTTTTTACAGATTTTGGTAGTACATAAAATGAATAACTTTTATTAAAAACTTTTTTCAATTTATCAACAGATGGCGCTGTAATTCAAAATTTAATAAAAATGGGTTTTCTTGTAAAATGTATTATTTGAAACGTTTATTAAACAAAAATTAACATCAAATCAACAATAGTCGGCTCTGAAAACAATTTATAACCAATGTTCGAAATGCCGTCCTTCCATTTCGACACCAAGTGGAGCACCAGCGTCCCTGGTCGGTAAACGTTTGGTGCGGTACTTTTGGCGAACGGCATTAAATGGTGAAAAGTACCGGAATTTTCTAGAAAACGATCTGCCAGACTTCTTCCTGTGGGGTTACTTGAAAGAAAAAGTTTACGCTGCAATTCATACAACTCCGGAGGACATGGTGGAGCCAGAATTCATTACCCGCATTAAAAAATGTGTGGAAATGAAAGGATGACATTTTGAACATTTGTTATAAATTGTTTTCAGAGCCGACTATTGTTGATTTGATGTTAATTTTTGTTTATTAAACGTTTCAAATAATACATTTTACAAGTAAACCCATTTTTCTTAAATTTAGAATTACAGCGCCATCTGTTGATAAATTGAAAAAAGTTTTAAATAAAAGTTATTCATTTTTTTATGTACTACCAAAATCTGTAAAAAAAGGGTTATCCCATTTGACTCTTCAAAGTTACCCCCCGTTTCACCCTTAAGGAGGGGTAGGGGGTGGCTAGCGGTAGCACCAAATAATGTCTCCTTTGGTCACATTAACCTTTTATTTAAAACATTTTTCCGTGAAATGCGTATTTTTTGAGATATTGAGCTGTCTCAAGTTAAAAGAAACACCCTGTATATATACAGGGTGTCCCAGAACTCGCGCCACATAGAAAACCGGAACGTGCCGAAAGTAACGTGAAACACATATTTGAAAATTAAAATTGTCTAACGCAAAGGATAAGCGAGATAAGAATAAAAAACGATAGCCAATCCCAATAGATGGCCATAGGGAATTCTTTAAATTGCTAGGATACTTAGGTTGAATTGTTGATAATAAAAAATATGTAAAATATTTGGTCCACTGGAATCCAATTCATTGTGACACTGCTGTCAAACTCCTGTCATTAATATTATATTAGGTTATAAATTAAGTTATTATAAATAATATTTTCCTTAGATGATTATACTGAAATGATAATTATTTATTTATTTAGTGTGGGCGCAACGCCAGGGAGACAACGCGAGTTTTTTCCCAGCCCTTTCCTAATCGTTATTTTAAAACATTGGCGTTCTGAAGTATAAGTCATAGATTAATAACCTCATTTTTGAAAGCTTTTGACAACTTAGTAAATACAGTTGGCCAAAAGATTTTTAAATGTTTTTAATACAACAATGTTCTATCGTCTCCTAGCAATTTTTAAAGCTCTTACGTTTAACCTAGGCGAGAGCTCTCGGTATTGGCTGCCGCTTTTTTGCTCTCATTCGATTAAACTATTACCTAGAAATTTTTTATTTTTAAATTTGGCATCTCATTGCTATCGGCACGCCCCCTTTTTCTCTGTGGCGCGAGTTCTGGGACACCCTGTATATATATATATATATATATATATATATATATATATATATATATATATATATATATACAGGGTGTTATGTAATTAATGTTATATATTAAAATACTGAATACCTTTTGACATAAGGTGTAATGGAAAAATATTTTAAAAGATATTTTCCCAAAGATAAAGAAAATATATGCATTAGAAGTTTTTTATATTTTTTGTGATACGCCACTGGTTACACACTTATGTTCTGTGAGTACATAGATTCAAACCAACAAAGTAGCTGCGCGTTGCCAGTTGTAAAAAATTGTTACTACAAAATTTTCTAGCATAAAATAAATAAAAACTCATTAAATACAAAAGTTTTAAAGCCCTTAAAGCTCTAATACCATTCTGTATTTATTTACTCATCCAGCTATTAACTTAAGCAATGATAAGAAAAATTAGTAGGTACCTATTTAAAAACTCTCTTTACTCAGATGAAATTAGGACAAGTTCATAGGTTAATCGTTAAACATTCAATTTGTGTAAATAAATCCAAACGCCCAAAAGCACTTCCCAGCGGGAGCGTTCACAAAATACGCCCGGATGCACACTTTTTACCCAAAGTCGTTCAGAAATGTGGAGTGAATTGCCTAGGTGAATCGTTTTCTCCGTTCGTAAAATTCACTCGGTCGTTAAAGATTTCACCCCGCTTTGTAGCGGTGTGTTTAGTGCGCACATGCGCATTGGCATATTTATTTAAAATATTTTTGAGGTTATGTTAACGGTAAAGTTTACCGGGTAAACAGTTGATTTTACATAAGAAGAAGAATATATAAACACTGTCAAACAGTGCAACAAAATGGAAAAAATAGATCCAGACAATTTTCTTGTGGTAAGAGGAGAAAACGGGAATTTTATAATAGATAATAAAAACATATTAATGATGCGAAAGTCCGGTAAGACCAATAATTATAAAAAAAGTATATGTTTTGTTATACTCGTATTTGATTTTAGATCAGGAATTATTTTATGATGGTATATGATATCTTAACTACAGATGCAACGGATCCCGCTGTGATATCCATTTCTTTTTTATTGTCTAAAACCGTTTTTAAATAAAAGTAAAATTAACCTTTTGAAAGACTTTTATAGTTTACCTTTATCTTTTTGACAATTTAAGGTTAAGTTTCAGTTTGACATTTCACAGTTAAGCCGCAAAACACTAGTCCGTTCCAATATCGACAAAACGCTCTGGTTACCTGGGTAAATCACACCAATCAAAACACACTTTTTATCTGAACGCACTCCCTTAGTTAAGATATTAACAATTTGAGCACATAACCTACAATTTTTTGACAGAATGTGTTACCAACCATAACATAATAAATTAAACCAGATTAACTTGAAGTAAAGTAAATCATTACGCGAATTATGAATAAAGTTTAAATCTGGTGTGTCTAAATTTTAATATATTTTTTATAAGTATGTTTTTAAATCACAATGTTAAAACGAGTTTTAAAAAATCATTAGTTTACAAATTTTTACAAGGTCTGATTAGTGATCTAGCGATTTCAGGTTTTTATTGTTTTTCAAGTTTTTTCAGGTTTTTATTCATATATTATATCACGAGAACAGTTCTCTATGAATTTCATCGCTTAAACTAGGCTCAGTAGTTTTTTGTTTGGTTTTTGTTGGAAAATGTTGAATGCAAAATAATTTAATAAAATCACGAGACCGCGTAGCGGTCGAGGGGTTTTATTTTTAATTATTTTGCATGAAACTATTTTCCAAAAAGAAAAATCAATTGTAAGAAAAATTGTAAGTAAATCTTTACTAAATACCAAAAACATTAAGTAACTTTACTCAATTTTTTTTAAATTTTCACAATTTTGACCTTTTTTATACTTTATATTTTTTTCGTTTGAAATTATTAATGGGAACAACTTTTTACCAAAAGTCCCGAGTAGGCTAAATTAGTCGTTTCGGAATTATTATTTTTTTAATGAAAATGCAATTTTCTAGTAAATTCGTGGTTCATCGCAAAAATT